AGGGACATCTCTCAACACGTAATGGTGACAACAGAAAGGGGCATCACTCAACACGTTATGGGGACAACAGAGAGGGACATCTCTCAAAATGACAACAGAGAGGGACATCTCTCAAAATGACAACAGAGAGGGACATCTCTTAACATGACAACAGAGAGGGACATCTCTCAAGATGACAACAGAGAGACATGACAACAGAGAGGGACATCTCTCAAAATGACAACAGAGAGACATGACAACAGAGAAGGACATCTCTCAAAATGACAACAGAGAGACATGACAACAGAGAGGGAAATCTCTCAACGTGACAACAGAGAGGGACATCTCACAAGATGACAACAGAGAGACATGACAACAGAGAGGGACATCTCTCAAAATGACAACAGAGAGACATGACAACAGAGAAGGACATCTCTCAAAATGACAACAGAGAGACATGACAACAGAGAGGGAAATCTCTCAACGTGACAACAGAGAGGGACATCTCACAAGATGACAACAGAGAGACATGACAACAGAGAGGGACATCTCTCAAGATGACAACAGAGAGGGACATCCCTCAAGATGACAACAGAGAGGGACATCATCACTCAATATGATAGGGAGACAACAGAGAGTGACATTTCTCAATAAGTTATGGGAACAACAGAAAGGGAACAAAGCAACTGTGCCCGACAGTCTGACGCATGTAACATACACTAGGTGACAATTTCGTGAGAGACCCACTGGATGAGCCATCTATCAAACATCCCCAAGTACAAGCGTCTGTTGTCCCTTTAGTTTCCAGTCCCTGATCTACCGCTCTTCTCATCTCATCATAGTCATAGTGCTTCCAATAAAAAGTGAAGCCCGACCCAGGGGCTGTGGTTTACCCATGATGAAGATGGTGTACATGACCCACGGCCTGTAGTTTACCCATGATGAAGATGGTGTACATGACACAGGGGCCTATAGTTTACCCATGATTAAGATGGTTTACCAATGATTAAGATGGTTTACCCATGATTAAGATGTTTTACCAATGATTAAGATGGTCTACCTATGATTAAGATGGTGTCCATGCCTGTAGTTTTAGTTTTAGTTTAAGCAGAGGTTTTACGGCGCTCACAACTGCATAAGGTCATATGAGCGCCAGAAGATTAGAGGGGTTACATGAGAGTAACAAACAAAAAAAAGAAGAGGGGAAGATAAGGACGATAGACGTTTGATAGGAGAGATGAAGCAAACCACACCAGAGCACCTGCCAACCACCCTCACCCACAGCCTGTAGTTTTTTAACCAAGATTAAGATGGTGTCCATGACATAGGGTCTGTAGTTTTTTACCCAAGATTAAGATGGTGTCCATGACATAGGGCCTGTAGTTTTTTACCCAAGATTAAGATGGTGTCCATGACATAGGGCCTGTAGTTTTTTACCCAAGATTAAGATGGTGTCCATGACATAGGGCCTGTAGTTTTTTACCCAAGATTAAGATGGTGTCCATGACACAGGCCTGTAGTTTTTTACCCAAGATTAAGATGGTGTCCATGACACAGGCCTGTAGTTTTTTACCCAAGATTAAGATGGTGTCCATGACACTGCTGGAAATGTCCAGAGACTTCTGGCCCTCCTCCACGTTCAGGAGTTCGGAATGTTCCAGTCGAGCCAGGAGGGCCTCCTTCCGCACGCCCTGGGGAGTAGTGGTCAAAACAAACATTACCTGGGGTAGAGTTTTATAGTTTTAGTAGAGGTTTTACGGCACTTGCAAAACAATAAGGTCATATGAACGCCAGAAGATTAGAGGTGTTACAAGAGAGTAACAAACATAAAAAAGAAGACTAGAAGGGAAGATATGGAGAATAGATGTTTCATAGGAAAGAAGAAGGGACCCACACTAGAGCACCCGCCAACCACCCACGTGGACAAACATTACCTAACCGACAACGTACGTGATAGCTAGTGACAAAACCAACAACAACCTGTGGGTGGTTGGCGGGTGCGCTGGTGTGGTTTGCTTCTTCTTTCCTATCAAACATTTATCGTCCTTATCTCCCCTTCTTTTTTATGTTTGTTACTAGACTCTCTTGAAACTCCTCTAATCTTCTGGCGCTCATATGACCTTATGCAGTTGCGTGCGCCGTAAAACCTGTACTAAAACTTAACAATAACAACTAGTGACAAACGAACCACAACGTACGTAATAGCTAGTGACAAAACCAGCAATATACATATTATCTAATAACAAAATCATCAACATACATAATAACTTGTGACAAACCAACAAAGTACGTAATAACTAGTGACAAAATCAATAACAACGTACGTAATTGCTAGTGACAAAACTAACCACAACAAACATAACAGCTAGTGACAAAATCAACAACAACGTACATAATAGCTAGTGACAAAATCAACAACAACGCACATAACAGCTAGTGACAAAATCAACAACGCACGTGATAGCTCGGCACGCTGGACAGGATGTTGATGGAGATGCGCAGGGCACAGATTCTCCACAGGCGGTCCAGCAAAGGCGGCTCGAGGTGAGCGAAGGTTTCAAAGGCAAAGGCCAGGTCTTGTAGGCCCAGAAACAATGCCTGTGCGGGGG